TTTTCGCGTGTAATAAATATCTGTATTCGACGGACGCACGGGACGACGGCCAGCCATCACCCGTTCTCGCTCTTTCGCTCTCTCTTTCTCTCTTTCTCTCGTTCTCTCGCTCTCGCTTTCACGTACGCTCAGCCGCTCTTTGATACTTCATGGCCGCCGTATGGATGGGCAATCGAAGGGATCGGACGTCGTGAAGAGAACCGAAGGAAGGAGAGAAGCGCGCACGATAGACGCGAGATGGTCGTCGTCGCGGTTCTATTGCATGCTTGGAGAAAAACGAAGTATAAATACAATAGAATCTCGATTATTCGATTGAATAGGGCAAGTAACAGTCTAGAGAAATGGAAACTCGAGAACTTCTTCGAATCGCGTTTGTAAAATTCGATCGTACGCATCCTGAGGTACGATCCGAGAATCCGAATTATCGAGTTCGGGACTCTGAACGGTCTAGAGCGCGATAAACAGCGATTCATCGATCTGCTGAAATTGTTGTTTGAAACTTCGGTTTTCCGACGAAGCCGCGACGCTGCACGTTGCAGACTTCGACGGAACAGCATCGCGAACGTTAAGGACCGTCAGGGCGGCAAGTCAGAGGAAGAGAGGAAAAAACTGATCCCGGACAGGAAGAATCGCGTTTGAACGGGTCTGTTCACATCCAGCCGCGCTCGGCGCGGAGGATGAAAGAGAATAGATAGATTCGAAGGGTGGATCGGCTCGACGTCACGTGTCATGTGTGCTTACGCGACGCGTGATCGATTAAAATATAGATTACGTTCGCTTCGAATACAAAAATACAATTCTCGGTTGGAGACGGGTACAACGGGTACACGAAAGGCCGTATCCGTCTTTGTGCGGAACAACGATTCAACGATTCAACGATACAACGAGTCAACGGTACGAGTGTGCTACGCGCGCAACAGGCACACAAAAATACGTGTAATGCACACGTGCGATCCTAGCCTCCCCCTCGTTGGAGATATCATCGCGGAGACGACGCGATATTACACAGACATTTTCTCTGTTTGTGTTCGCCTTTTCGAGATACCGATCGATCGGTTACGTATCGCCGGGAGAACGTAGATACTTTTTCTTTGTCACCGGAACACGTCAAACGTCAAAGTCATCTTCGCTGTAATAAGATTACTTTCACCCGGATAAAATATCACGCGAAATCAATTCACGAATAAACTTTAAAAGAATTGCAATTTCTGATCCTCTTCGCGGCCGACCTCGGAGGACGGTCCTCCGATTTCGGTTAACGAGAAAGCACAGAACCACCGTTCGAACGGAAATACATGTATTTCGAAACTTTTCAATAATATATATGTATATATATCCCTAACTCGCTTAAATTGACTTCGACGGAGACGGTAACAACGCGCTATCGCCGTCCAATTAGACTCTAATAGACTCGCTGTCTAATTGCAAAATAACCGTACGACTTTCTATTCAAATAACAGCACGTATTGTTCTCTTGATTACCATTCATTGCTTCACTCTGCATCGAAATCGTTGTATTTTCCGGAAAAGTACGTTTTCTCCTCGATCGCAACATCGAAAAATGCACGAACTTCTTAGGCTCGGCCGTGATTCCTTGGATCCGGCAACTCGTAGTCTCTCTAGCGATTAACCCGTTCCTTAAACGCGTACTCTTAATTCCTTTCTTCTTCTTTCACATTATCTTTTTAAAGGAACTCTCTCCCTCCCTCTTTATTCTTCCCTCCCCTCCTCCCTGCCTTCTCTCTCTTTTCCGTAATTCAATATTAGCGATAAACGTTACTCTCAATCTTTCTCGTTAGTTTCCTCACCAAATCATCTAAAAATATGTCCTATATATACTTCTTAATATTCGTTCACGCATACATACATATACACCCACCCTCTCCGTTTCTCTTTTTCGCTTTTTCACTCGTTCACACTCTCTCTTTCTCTCTTTCTTTCTCTCTGTCCGACCCTCTTCCTAACGTTCGCGCCTGTTCATTCTTTCGCTTGCATCGTTCGATGCAAACGTAATTCTCGTACACGCGAACACCACAGATCGCTTGTACGTGTAGCTTGGTTACGTCTGTCTATACTTTAAGAGAGAACACCGGACGGTAATGGCTAAGAAAACGTCCAACGGAGGATCTTCCGTATTCTTTCCCGTTTCGCAGATCTAAGACGGCCGAGATCGATGCTCGACCGTATTCAGAAAATTGGGCAAGCGATCGCAAGAAATTAGACATACCTAAATAGTAGCTCATCCATCTTCCTCACACACACGACACTCAATTGCGACGAC